ATTCCATGTTCAACTCCAAAACATTGAATGTCCTCTATTTACTCTATTAAAATCACAATCAAATACACTATAAATCTCTCACTGTGTAGAGATATCAAGTGACAGTCTTCAATACATTAAAAGCCTCCCCCCATAGCCACACATGCAGAAACACAAGCAATAACACTTCTACCTGTAAATTTCATTCCAACATTGCCAGGTTAGTTCTTACTTAGGACAATATCCATACATCTCATGATCTGCAATATAAGACAGTACATGTATTTTGATGATCTGGTCCTACAGTGAATAAAATCTGAGTAGACAAATTAATACGATTATGTTATAGTTTTACTTCAACTTGAACCCCAATCAAAGCATTAAGTTTCAATAGATGTGAAAGACTTACTGCAGAGAAAATTAAAGTTAAAACTGTAAAATACAAGTACACGTAACTGTTATATACTACACCCTTCATACAGGTACATAATGCCCCATTACACAAGCTTCACCTGCCTCTGTCTTTGGCTAATGCCCCTGCTGATGCCCAGCTAATCCAACCCAGCTGGAATCTCTCTTGTTCCATTGTTCTTCTCCACATTCACTTCAGCCAGCTTTCTTCTGAGTGCCATGTCATTGCCGGAGTACAAATCATGTTGATTTTCATCCTAGGACTATAAATAAATAGCCAATCCAATACCACTTCCTGAGAAATGTTTCAATCTAGTTGTTTTTATTTTATAAACTGTTATTTTAGAAATATACTTAAATTATGCTAATTTAACTATATATGGAATGTTAATAAAGAAATATATGTAAATTATGCTAAATTATCTATATGTACAACATAAATCACTAAACAATTCCATTCTTATATGGAAAAGAAGTACAGAGACAATTCGAACTACGTACCTGTTTCTTTGGTAGGCTAGCTCTTAAATTTGATCTGCAGTTTGACAGAACATGATATGATAAGATTTGAAAGCGTAACCCTCATTAAAAGAATGCGTGACACTTACTTGTACATAAATGATAAGTAATAGCAGCCTACTTACAGCTTAAGCTTTGTCTGACGTCGGCTTCTGCAGGCATGTTCATGAAACTTTCCTAAGATTTGTCCTAAGACTATTCCTAAGATATGACTTAGGAAGAAACTTAGGAACATCCTAAGATCAACTTAGGACATATCATAAGATGTATCTCGACGGTGACTTAGGAACATCTTAAGTTAGGACATCCTAACTTACAATGAACAATTTTTTCTTAAACATTTATCGATAAATGTATATTTTTGGAGACATTTTACGGGAAAGAAATTAATACATGTAACATTAGAAAAGGAAATCCATTTATATTTCCATATGACCTCAGTATATTTTAATGTTTGCATTTTTTTTGTTGATATTATAAAATATTTAATACCGCTTGTAAATCGTATTGTAACAAACAAATTGTAATTAAGATTGATAGTTTAAAAAATAATAACCTCTGAGTGATCTACCTTGATGATGATTATGTTATGAAGTTTTATAAAAGTTTACTTAATTTTTTTGATAAATAAGCTGATTGAAAGTAAAATGAATTTTGTAGGACACTAAAAAAGTATTCAATCAGGGAAAACACTAGTTTAAAGCCAACATTTTATTCTTGAATAATAAAACTCTCAACAGTTTAAATATTTGAATGACAATTTTTTTTAAAATTTTGTATGTTCTCCCAACCGGTTAATTAAAAAATTAGAACATGTCGATAGCTTCGTTGTCTCATAATAGGGGGTGGATGGCTGGCCCCTCCTTATTTTATTCACAAGTTTATTGGTATTAATCTATGATGGAAGTTTTGATAAATGACGAATATGTATATCGCAAAAAGTCATGTTAGAATGATCATAAGTTGTACTATATCTGTATCTAACGTTATAGACCAATCATTAGCATATGATAGAGGGGGTATTTGTTTATATATTCGCACAATGTATTATGACATTTTAAACATAAGAAGGGGTGGGGTGGCGGTCATAATACAACGTTTGTGATGAATGTCTTTGACAGTCACATAACAACGGTCATGAAATGGGGGGGGGGGGGGGGGGCGAGAAAAAATTTAACTTACGTGAGAAAACTAGACAATTAAAAAAGGGAAAGAATATTGTCCAAACTCGAAAATCCATTTGGAAGAGAGAGAGAGAGAGGGCGGGGTCTAGGTTTCAACTTCTTTCATAGTCTTTTTTTCATTCCAACATTACCCTCATTTAAATAACCTTATTTGTCTTCAATTACTTTGTATTTGATATGCAATGAGCAGATCGACCGATAATAAAAGCCCCCCCCCCCCCCCACACACACTTCGTCGCCCGAGGAGCGTTGTATTATATTTCTCCAACCAATACCGAAAATATTCATTATAATAATATCCAAAATTTGTATTAGGTAATATCCGGAACAGCACATGCGAAATTTATAGCATATATGAAAAGAGGCCTATTGGTAACACTTCTTGTTTAATTATTTGTGTAAATCATCAGCTCATACACGGACTGCTGAGAAACAAGAAATTACCGCTGATACTTGCAATGTCCAAAATCAAAAGCATCAAAACAAACTTTAAGTTAGGATGATCTTAGGAAGGTATTATGCTGTCCTAAAGTTAGGAAAAACTTAGGGAAGTTCTTAAATTTAGGAAAGCTTCGAGAAACTGACTTAAGACTAGGACATTTCCTAAGACGTTCTTAGGACACACCATAGTCCTAAGATAGCTTCATGAACATGCCTGCTTGTTTATAATCGCACAGCACATGGCCTTTTCAGGTGACGGTCTCTCTCGCATCGACGCTTGACTCCCGTCACACTTGAAATAATAAAATCTTCACGCTTCAAATAATAAAAACTTCACGCTTCAAATAATAAAAACTTTACGCTTCAAATAATAAAAACTTCACGCTTCAAATAATGTAGGAAAATCTCTCTCACTTTAACGCTTGTATCCGTCACGCTAGAAATAATAAAATCGGCAGTCACAATCTTATAATTATTGTGGAGAGGGGAGTTTTCGTTACTGTCACTAAAAAAGAAGTTATCTTTCCTGTTGAAAATAAAAACAAAGTCCCGTTTACACCATTATTATTGTTGCAAAGATTATATAACGAAGATTTCGGAAATAATTGTAATAATAAGTTTTTTTTTTTTTTTTTTTTTTTAATAAACAAACAATCACTACATTATTATTACAGGGGATGTAATGTTATAAAATGATGAAATAAGAATAATTATGATCTTGAAGTAAAATAAAAAAAAAAATAGATGTGTAGAAAATAAAAAAAAAAAAATGTCTTTTTTATCTACAATTACATGTATAATATCGTGTCCACATTAACTGGCAAGGTTATTATTGTAAAGTGTGAATAATTATGATTGGAGAAGAAAATAAAATAATGTATACACATTTAACTGACAAGATATAAATGTTGCAGGAAAATAATAAAATGTTGTAAAAAAGCAAGATTTTTAGTTTTGTATGATATAATTATTTTTGGTATAATTATATAGGAAAAAATAATAATAATGTGGGGGTACCCTACGGCTTTCCATAATAGGCATTCCGCACGCCTTGTTCCTTAATATTCTTTTGAAACGACTATATCACAATAGTTATATATGAATACACCATACACACAAACGTCTTTATCACAATAGTTATATATCAATACACCATTCAAGGTTCATAAACGTCTATATCACAATAGTTATACATCAATACACCATTCAAGGTTCATAAACGTCTATATCACAATAGTTATACATCAATACACAATTGAGGCCTAGGGTTAATAAACTTTATACAACAATTCCTCTCATAAAATCAAAATCTAGATCTTATGAAGTTATAGACAATTGCTTCTTGAATTAAAAGGAACTCGGAAACATTCTTATCTTGTTCAAGATAATCAACAAAATTATATACTTTTAGATACTTTATTTAAAAAATCACTCTGATTCTAAACATATGTACTCTGTAAGGGATGCCGGAGTTTTTTATTGGTATGGTGTAGTCTTTGAATCACTGATCTGATTCCAAACTTATGTACTCTGTAGAGGATTCTGGTGTTCCCCATTGGTATGGTGTAGTCCTTGAATCACTCTGATTCTACACACATGTACTCTGTAAAGGATGCTGGAATTTCCTATTGGTATGATGTAGTCTTTGAATCACTCTGATTCTAAACATATGTACTCTGTGAGGGATGCCGGAGTTTCTTATTGGTATGGTGTAGTCTTTGAATCACTCTGATTCTAAACATATGTACTCTGTAAAGGATACTGGAGTTTCGTATTAGTATGGTGTAGTCTTTGAATCACTCTGATTCAAAACATATGTACTCTGTAAAGGATGCCGGAGTTTCTTATTGGTATGGTGTAGTCCTTGAATCACTCTGATTCTAAACATATGTACTCTGTAAAGGATTCTGGAGTTTCCTATTGGTATGGTGATGTCTTTGAATCACTCTGATTCTAAACATATGCACTCTGTAAAGGATACTGGAGTTTCTTATTCGTATGGAGTAGTCTTTGAATCACTCTGATTCTAAACATATGTACTCTGTAAAGGATTTTGGAGTTTCCTATTGGTATGGTGTTGTCATTGAATCACTCTGATTCTAAACATATGTACTCTGTAAAGGATGCCGGAGTTTCTTATTGGTATGGTGTAGTCTTTTAACCACTCTGAATCTAAACATAATATTATGTACTCTGTAAAGGATGCTGGAATTTCCTATTGGTATGATGTAGTCTTTGAATCACTCTGATTCTAAACATATGTACTCTGTAAAGGATACTGGAGTTTCTTATTAGTATGGTGTAGTCTTTGAATCACTTTGATTCTACTCTGTAAAGGATTCTGGAGTTTCCTATTGGTATGGTGTAGTCTTTGAATCACTCTGATTCTACTCTGTAAAGGATGCTGGAGTTTCCTATTGGTATGGTGTAGTCTTTGGATCACTCTGATTCTACTCTGTAAAGGATACTGGAGTTTCCTATTGGTATGGTGTAGTCTTTGTTTCACTCAGATTCTAAACATATGTACTCTGTAAAGGATACTGGAGTTTCTTATTAGTATGGTGTAGTCTTTGAATCACTCTGATTCTGTAGTCTTTGTTTCACTCAGATTCTAAACATATGTACTCTGTAAAGGATACTGGAGTTTCTTATTAGTATGGTGTAGTCTTTGAATCACTCTGATTCTACTCTGTAAAGGATTCTGGAGTTTCCTATTGGTATGGTGTTGTCATTGAATCACTCTGATTCTAAACATATGTACTCTGTAAAGGATGCTGGAGTTTCCTATTGGTATGGTGTAGTCTTTGAATCACTCTGAATCTAAACATATGTACTCTGTAAAGGATACTGGAGTTTCTTATTGTATGGTGTAGTCTTTGAATCACTCTGATTCTAAACATATGTACTCTGTAAAGGATACTGGAGTTTTTTATTGTATGGTGTAGTCTTTGAATCACTCTGATTCTAAACATATGTACTCTGTAAAGGATGCTGGGTTTCTTATTGGTATGGCCTAGTCTTAGGAGATCAAATCTTTCAAACAAAATTTAGGAATTCATTAAACAATAAGGGTGCTCATTTTTGCTTAGCCTGTTTTTATACTCACAAACGAAATTTATTCAAAACCTTTTAAACAAGAGGAAGAAAACACTTGTTTTGCCCTTCTACTCGACATTTAAATATATCGACTACGTTTTATGAATTAACAATACTTCCATTCATAGAAATATGGAGATAAAGAATAGTTTTCAAGCTTAAAATTCCATTTAAACGATAAACAGATGAACAGTCAATGCTAAGCGGAGCAAACACGGACCGGGGGGGGCAACTTTTCTCAAGGCTAACTTCCTTTCACTTCAAATTTTTCCCCTATATTTCCTTGCTATAAATGTACTGTGGTAAACAGTGGGGGGGGGGACCATCTCTTCAATGGACATTTTCTATAGTAAAGGTATTGTTCGGGAAAAAAGTGGGTGGGGGGGGGGGGCAGGCCGGGTGTTGCTAAAACGCGGAACGGAAAACGGAACGG